AAAAAACGCACATTATGTATAAATAAACAGTGCAAATGGTGCACATATTGTGAAAAGGTGAATCAATGTCCTTTTTCCATGTCTTTTATAAACAACATATTTGCACCATGTTGTAGTCAGTTGGAGTACCTACCACGACCCACTGACCTTATTTGGTATTATTATAATCTGTAGTCTGAGTTTGGGAAGGCAGATATCTTCATATCTTACTAATTAGTGAGACTGCACCCTCACCCAAGAGCAAAAAAGTTCAGGATCAGGATTATTTTTCACTTTAAGAAAACAGATTTTTCTGATCACCTCTTGCACTTTTTCAGATACAATAAGAAGGAAATGCAATAATGAAAACCACATAGAAATGACACACATGAAATAATGACCCGACAATGTCAGACTTGCGAATTGCTTTATGTGATGAACTATTTACAAGACATGATTTCAAACACATTTTTCAGCTGTTTCAAGAGGGGAACGTTTACAATGATTAACCTCTGAGTACAGAATGTCATTAAAAAGTCCCTTTACTCCCTGTACATGGACAAACAACCAGTAACAAAAGAATTTCATGAAAAAGAAAACCAGTCCGCAGCGTTGAATTGTCTGATACAGTTTGGGTTCATGTAATAAGGCACAAGTGCATTACATCTTAAAATGGGATTATGGTGCTACTCGGAGACAGAAATTACAACCAAGACAAAATGTTTACCTTCGATTTACAAAACGACATACGTAAAGTAAAACAGACGTGTGATCTGATCAAACTTTATGAAAAAAAAAAACACTAATAATCAGGTCATTGATAAAAAAAAGCTAAGACTAAAAACTACATATTCCGAGTTCCTAACTGTACTGCTGGAAATAATTTTAGCATCCGATCTAATTGTGTTGACACTTAAAACGTGAGGCCGCGCGCCTCAGCGTGGTAGCTTAATCAATGGGTAGAAAAGTAAACAAACATCCTTTTTAATCCTCGTGTGACGTAAGATACCTGAGAATCGACACAAAAAGTGCAAATCCCGTGACTGACATGACACCGCGTTCACCAGGAACCTCTTTAAAGCAGCTTTTTGCTTCCCTTCATTAATAAAGTCCTAAAACTTTTAGTGTTTGGAAAAATCTGAACCCGTGTTTAGCTGAACGCGACTACTTAGAACAAGAGAGGTGCTTGGCGGACCTAAAAACTTGAAAAGACGGCACGTAAAATCGTACACATAAAATCCCTTTAACTACCCTATAATACAAAACAATGTAAATTATTAATTACAAGAAAGACAAAGAGCTTAAAAATCATCTTAAGAAGACTTCACTTTAAGGCATGTTTGTGCGCACTGTGTCGTCTCAACGTAGACAAAAAAAAAAAAAAGACTATTAAAAGTGTGTCTAGTTTGGGATGATTCTTTGTCATTTTTGGGGGATTACCTTTAAAACAAAACTTACTGGCAACATGTTACGTCATCCCAAACTTTACATACACAAGTGCAAGAAAGCATTCGTATCAAGAATGTAAACTCTTACTGGCAACAGAACTTAAAGAGGGTTACTCGTGGTTAAAAAAGTAAAAGCAGAGACGCTCCGGAGGCAGAAACAACAACTGGGCCGAGCAGATGTCAACACCTAAACACTTCTTTAGCTCATTTATGATGATATGCACGACACCTGTTGATCAACAAGACTTCGATAACTCACAAATGTCTCAGCTAACTAGCCTTAGCTGACCGCACTAGCCTGTAACTGCTGGACTATTTCAGCTACGTCTTGTTTCTTTGAAGTGGCCGGAGTGTTGGGCTTCACACTGACAGCTCCCTCTGACATTTCTTGATGACTGTTTTTCTGCTCTGCTCAGTTCTTTTTTTTCTTTTTGCCTCCAAAGAGCATCTGTCTGTATTTGATTAACCAAATCTGCTGTTTCATCACTGTGGCTGCAGGCTCGTCTGTCAGCAAGACTCCAGACACAGCGAGGAGCATCCTTGAAGGTATCATGGCTGTTACTCACTGTTAGTAAGTCGTGCTGCGAGAATAATCATCGCAGCTGGAACACGTCTCTTGCTGAAATTACCCGCTGAACAGACTTATCCATTTGGCGATTCCCATTAGTCTAACGGATGAGTCTGGGGCTTGTCGCTCGCCTCAGTCTCCGTGAGAGTAGGATGTGTGGACAGCCCAGGGCTGCACCGTTCCTTTACCAAACACAGTGTAGAATATGGCTCCAGACAGGTTGATGGCTGCAGCAATGTAGAAGACAGTCTGCCACTCTTCGATGGTGTTCTGGAGGACAGGGAGGACAATTATTGATCAGTGTCGACCTCGATAAAACAGTTTGATAGGCTTATCTTATTATGATATGCATTGTGTAAAACATTTGCGTAGTATTGTGGCATTTACTAAACTGCTGATGCCCTGGATGTAGATGTCAGCGTCTAACTGTCTGAAGCTTCTCAGTCATCCAGGTTATGGTCTATGTCAACGCTGAAACTACGGCAACTGGACCTGAAACTGTTGCTGTTTCACCTCTGATCTGCTCCTTCAGTTCTACCTGACAGGTGGGGAGTTCCAGGTATTTAACGAGTCACTGACTAGGTTGTGGACCGACCGGGTCATCTGGTGAGCCAAGGTGTGAAAGGCTGTTTGGGGAAGAAAGTGGCTGGTTGGACCGTCACCTCTGTTTAGTGAGAGTTGTTCCAGTTTGACACCGTAGGTCTTCTACATCGACATTTATACGCTGTCCTTCAGAAGTAGGTGTTCTGATCGGAGCCGCCCCGAGTTTGAACCGTGTGTTTGTGAAGGAGGTCTGTGCGCTCGTCACTGCATCGAACTACGTACGCTACATAGCGTGTTTTGTCTTCAGGGTCTTTTTGAAGATACTCATGCAATGTAAGGGAGTAACAGAGCTGTTCTGTGGTTTTTGGATAAGCCCGAGCTTGAAGTGCTTCTCTAATGTGTTGTGGTGCTACTTCTTCTACCTTCTGTCTTTTCAGCTTGTTTTGAAAACAGCAGCTTATGCTCCCGTTTGTGGTGAGACGTAAAAATTAAATATTAATTTGTCTGATGGTTTTCTGTGTACTTTCATGTTGAGTCTTCACAGTCCAACAAGGCCAAAATATTTACTCTGATGTCTCCAACGTGAATCTGATGTCGTCTGCTGTATTTTGACCCAGGTTTCCTTTACGTACCTGAGCGGAAGCAATTCCTGCAAAGGAGATCAGGACTCTGCTGTCTACAGCTTCCATATAGAGACTGGCCAGTGTTGGTGAGCCCGTGGCACAGCTTCAACCTCATACTGGACTCATATGTGGTTCGGGGTGAGGTTGGTTCTGCTGGATAGAGTGCTGTCCTCCAGCAGTCTTTAAAGCTTCTGGGGTGGGGATGGATGTGAAGTGACATCATAGGTTACCAGCTATAGTATTTTTTTTTAACCTCATTGACATAATTGTTTAAGGGTTACCCAGAAGGATGAAGGCTCGGTGTTTGGCAGTATAACAGATGACTAAGTTGATGCTACTGCTGATGGGTAACAAACAGTGCTAGGTCAATGGTTTTGTATTTTCCAGTTGCAGACAGTTGATTATTTTCTTGTAGCTGCTGATAGGATCTTGCTTCAGCGAGAGCACCGGTCCACCCATCTTCCTTTGTCAGCCAGCGAGACGGTGATGTCTCCTTTTAGAAATGCCAGTGCCATCCTTTTCAGGGCTCTCCTTCCATCCAAGAATGGAAGGCATTAGCAGGTCTAAAAAGAGACTTGAGCATCACCGTCTTGCTGACTGAACGAGGAAGATGAACAGTGGTGCTGAACACAGCAGGTTACTGTGCCGAGGCGACACGGCCGCCTACGAGACACTGAAATCCTACCGGCAGCGACAAGAAGAAGAAGAAACTAAACTGAAAAAAACGTTTTATTACCATTTGTACACTAGGAGGCCAGCCCTTAAAAGACTCCAGGATTTTGCCAACAATAAAGCTGGAATCAGGTGAAACCATGGTAACCTTTGATGCCACTTCAACCTTTCCTGCTTCTGGGGTGAGGATTATCGTAATGACTGCACAGAACCGACCTCACCTTAAACCACAAATGCCCCCTGCACGACGTCTGTCTGACCACAACCTACCTCCAATGAATGAGTTTAACAGGCAGCAGCACGACTACTGGCTCACCACTGTCTCCAGTATAGACAGCAGATGTCTGATCTCCTCTGCAGGAACTCCTCCCATTCACTGTTTCAGGTACGTGGGACATACCTGGGTCAGAATCAAAATACAGAACCCTTCGTAGAACTCATCCATGCAGCGGACAGGAGCATAAAGGTCACTCATAAAGCTGCTGAAGGAAATATTCTCTCCTTCTTGGACTCTGTAATGCACATTGAAGAAGCCTCAACATCAAAGTATGCAGAAATCCCACATGCACAGATCAGTATGTACTGTCTGAAGCTGAGGGGGGTCATCGAAACATCACTGCACCTCTCACAACATGCGCACAAGGACCGCTACGAAGGAGCATCGACAGAGAAGTGCTTAAAGCGTGTTGGCCTTAGACAAACCACAGAATGGAAAAGAACGAGCAACAGAGCAACGCTGCTAATCGTCAAGGTACTGAAGTGTCTGTTCAGCATCCTCCTGGGTTTTCTAGAACTTTAAAGTCCTGTAACATGCTAAGGCAGAAGCTTGTTGACTCCAAGGGCACAACATCGTCCATCCATCAATCTATTATCTATACACCGCTTAATCCTCACTAGGGTCGCGGGGGGGCTGGAGCCTATCCCAGCTGACTTAGAGCGAAGGCAGGGGGCAGAACATCGTAGTGTACATAATTCAACGTGCTCCACTGAGCCCCTAAAAGTCAGGATGAGAATTTTTTTTTTAGGGAAACACTCTACAGATGATGTGATACTTTTCATGGTGCATTTATGGGTCAGTATTCATTTTAAAGGCCAGTATCTGTCAGGATCCAGCTGCTGGTCTTGAGCACAGCTGCTCGGCCCGACAGTGAAGCTGTGGATGGATATGTGGTGATTGTCTGGGCCTCGGCTGCTGCTGTGCACTGTCCAGCTGTTACTGTTTTAACCTGCAGTGCCTCTACAACAGATGTGCTTTTTTTTTTTTTTTAGGAGTTCAGGAGCTTCAATATGATGCTCAGCCAGCAAAACCATAACTGTACCCAAATTTAGTCACTTTTACAACCATTAAAAACAACTTGTTCTCTGCTGTACTATGATACAGTCTCACGTTGCCTCCACGGGGGATCAGTGCACCCTCAGCTGTGTCTGTCAGGCAGACAGGAGACAGAAGGGGCTGCTTCAGCAGCTCTGTCACTGACTGCAGCCCTGGGATGACAGCTGTCACTGTTCAGATTTTGCCTGTGACATATTTGTTTGTAATGGTTGTAGCACTGACTACACGTAGCAGAGGCACTGGTGGAGGGACAGTATAGCTGGCAGTGTTTTACTGAACCGTCTGTATTCCTGAACACACAGAGAACTGCAGCTGAAGTCTGAACAGGAACCACAGGGTATTTTCAGCCACAGCTTCACCATCGCAGCCCCGCAGAGCAGCTGTGTTCACAACCAGCAGCTGAATACTGAGCAGTGAGTACATCATGCAGAGTGTCTCATCATCTCTCCTCTCTGTCGTATCTGCAGAGTGTTAGAACTGGTCTGAACCGACACACGAACTGGTTCTATGGATCAGAGGGAATATAAAACATGAAGTAAAGCAAATTTAAAAAGTTCCACTGTGCGGCTCCGTAATGCTGACGCAGCAGTTCACCTTCATCTGAAGGACAGCATTCGAGGACAACTATGTACGCACTTTAGCCAGAAAAGATCGATGGTTTAAAAAAGGAGTGAAACAAGTCATCCAGATCAAACTACACCAACCATCAGTAACAGAGGACGTGGTCTACGAAACCACTCATTAGCTACTAACAATGAAACAATTAAAACTGAAGATGACTGTAAAATATATTCCAAATTGTTCTCCAGTTGTACTATTTTGTTTAATTACTGAATAAAAACCACACGTTAAAGGTGAAAAACTGAATTGTTTTTAGCTTACAATTATCACAGAGTGCTGCGGGTATTTACAGCGTTTGAGGCTTTAACTGATGTTCCTGGTTAATTAAAAAATACACAAACATAACAGAGTAAACGTTAAATTAAGAAACAGTACGATAAACTCACCAGCCACTTTGTAGGCAAACCGGTGGAATGCAATGCAACAGAAAAACTTCCTGTGTATAATACAGGTCATAGTGGTGGTTGGTATACTGGACTGTATTACAATTAAAAGAGTTCCTAATAATCCTCCTACATCATTAACACACAGGAGGAGGGAAAAACAATAGGAACTTCTTTATGCAGTGCAATCGAGTACACCAGCAACACACAACCTGACAAACAATAAAGTGGAATTATCCCCATTTTGACAATAAAAACAGAAAACTAAAAGTAGAACTCATAGCAGAGCTGCTGCCATAGATTTCACAGACGTACCTGATAAAGTGGTGAAACACTCACTCGAAATTTTATGTTAACAATTTGTTGTCGATGTAAAAGACTGCACTGTTTAATTATCATTACAGTGTTATCATCACACTGAGAACTGTTGAGTTTTGAGCATCCACATGAAAAGAAAAATCTATATTTCAGGAGCTGTAGGTGACGCACAGACTGCATTTACAGAGAAGTTATTAATAAAACAGGAAACCAGGTAAACGTGATGACGAGCATCAGCCCAGACACAAACAGTCTGGGTGTGACGGCTGCTTTTCATGGAGGAGCACAGCTGCCCCCTGGTGGCCAAACGCTGACATGTTAATCCTGTACTCACTAAACCAATTAGGTAGGAAATAGAGTGTCACTCCAAAGTAAGGACACCATCTGTTCAGCCAGGGACACTGGAGGTGAGGAGACCCGGACTGAACTCTGCTTTTATGTAAGCAGCAGCAGCGGCAGCACGCTACGTACTAACGACAACATGCCGGGTTACTGCTAACCAGGCATCTCAACTGTTTAACTACAGTCTGCGTGATGCTTACGTTTTTGGTGACATCTCTCGCTATGACTGGTCCCACCATGCCAGGGATGGTTGCAAAGGTGTTGGTGATTCCCAGCAGAATACCTGCGTACCTGCAAAGATAAACACATACGTTAACAACAGTTCTATAAGTAGTGCTGCACTACTGAAGAAATGTTCTTGGAGGTGTGATCACGGCCAAATGCATCGTCTTCTGATGTAGACTTACACAATCATTTCTAGAACTTGTGCATCATTTCCACTGAGCGTAAGGGAAGTACAGTGACCAAACAGTCAGAGCTAACATGCAAGACAGGCACAACGCAGTAAGAGTAAGTGCTCTTTTCACTGGAAGTATGCAAATGGGAATATTTTCCCTGCAGATTTTAAAGGTGCAAGATTCAGTGACATCTAGTGGTGAAAGTGCAGATTGCAACCAACTGAATAACTTTTACTTCACCCTTCCCTTCCAACCTACAGTAGCTGCTAATAAGCTGAAAATGTGACTGATCATCTCTAGAGCCATAAAATTATCAAGTGAAATTTAAAAATTGCTCAAACTATTTTAGCAAAAACAAGCGCATTAGGCTTGTTTCCAACAACTGTTTTGGAGTGAATAAACTCTGCTGTGTTGGTGGTGGTTTAGGCTGCGTTAAGCACGGCTACAATAAACAGAGTAGAAGAAACAAAACCTGTCGTTTGCTAACTGCTTAAAAAACCTTGAAGAAGAACAAATAAACGTCTTCAGGAATTGTTTTCAAATCAGGAAATTCTGAATTATTCTTTCATGTCAGCTGTTATCGTTCACGTTTAGTGCTGTCCAGAGATGAAGACGACAAAAGAAGAAGCTGATAAGTCATGTGAGTTAAATGTTTGGAAAGTTGGAAATTATTGAAAAAAACGTGTTTCTCTTATTATAGATAGACTCAAAAAATGTCAAAACCACCTAAAGCGAGTATACAAAGTCTATTCAAATGATGCCATTTACATGAACTTTATCTAATGTAATACTTTAAAATGTGAAAAAAAAATTATGTGTCATGGAAACATGGCTAATGTTTGGTTTGTCCTTTGTGGGCTACTGTAGAAACAGTGCAATATGGAAGAGGACACCTTCTTCTCATTCTCATGTAAGAAAACTCTATTCTTATTACGAGGTGATTTTCCACTAATGACAACATAATTATGAGCAATACATTCAAATTTCTGTCCGTTTATTCCCCTAAATCCTACACTGGACCTTTAAAGATTCATATCTCAGTGACAGATGGGAGTTGTTCTTACGAAGGAGCGATGTCGAGGTGGTTGATGTTGAAACCAGAAGCCGACACTCCGCCCAGAGAGGAGGAGATGGTGAGGAAGCTCACGGCCAAGATGTAGTCACAGCCGGTGTAACCCGTTGCCACCAGGAACGCTGCCGGCCCAATCATGCCTGCAGAGACAACAGCACAGCAATGAAAAGCTTGTCAGACGGAGCAGACGTGGTATTTCGGACACCAGCAGTGATGGCGACTCCTTACCGATGACGGAGAAGACCTTCCTGACGCTGACGGTGGGATACAGGCAGGTTTCTCGAAGGTAATCGGCGACTTGGCCGCTCAGCACGGCCATGACTGCACAGCCGAGGTACGGGAGAGCCGACAGCATGCCGTTCTGGTGTGGACAGCAGGAGAGAGAAGAGAGCAAATAATACTTTTATAATTACATGCACACCAATGGAAGACAACAATAAACCTGTGATCTTATCTCCCACGTTCAACTTAATTTAATTGAATCTACTCACTGTTAACTATTGGAAATATCTACACCTTTGCAGCTACTGTCTTATGCACCTTGTATTTATTTACTGAATCCACACGTTTACATACAGCTGCACCTCATACGTACATTTTGCATAACTTCACTCTTTCGTATTTGTTCAGCAATGTGCAATAACTACACTACTTACAATACTGTTGCTATATTTCTTAAAACAAACAAGCCTTACCCTTGCAATAATAATCTATCATACTTTTACTTTTTAGATTTGCACATCTCCAACTTTCCCACTACATCTCCTAATTTTGCCGTACACTGTGCAATGATAATAAAGGAGTTCTATTTACATTTGATATTGCCACAGATTGTTTTATAGATACCGACAAATGCTGATTAAATCTCTCAGCGCCAACTAAATATCTTTGTTCTGCAGAATACCAGAGTGCTTCAGTGGTGACATTCCTGCACTGGTGCTCCTGCAGCGATCCATTCTGCATCAGCTGGGGAATAAATACTTTGCCAGCGCTGATGAGGTGAGAGTATGAAGAGCTCACAGTGGGAAAACCTAGAAAGTGTCCCAAGAAGCACTTCTGATGCTCCAGATTAGAAAAGGAAGGGATCAACGGTGGGTCGTAAGCACACGTCCACAATATGTGTGTGTTTACTGTAACCGTTGGGAACAAGAGAGTGGAACAGCGGCGTTCATGCAGGTTTTATCGCCCTCTGCTGGTCGGAGGATGTACACATGGAACATTTTTTACAGCTATTGAAACACATCGATGGTAGTTATTGAAAAAAATTAAAAATAAACATGTATTGCTATCATTAATATAATATTATGTATGAGTGACTTGTCAGTGATTCCATAGTTAGAGGGAATAAGTAGGAGCTCTTCAGTTGTTACTGTTTTAAACCTATAACGTTGGATCATAATAATAATAATAATATTAATACAAATTCCAGTATCGTTAACCTGTTAAGGCCCTGAGCTGACGCACTCCTTCTGCCTTGTCTGTAACTTGCAGTTTGACAAGACTTTAGATGGAGGTGGTGCTCACTTTTCTACTCTTTGTTGTTGTTCACTCAGGATTTTTATTGGAGCTTTTATTTTGTTAGTTCAGTCTAGGTTAGTGAATTCAACCTGTAGTAGAAGTCCTTTGTTTGCATCCTGCACTCTCACTTCCTCCTTTTGCTTTGTGCGGTTTAATTGGTGTCAATTATCTACGTTTAATAAAACAGCATCAGCTTTGGTTAAACAGCGTCCATCTGCCTGTTTGCTTTGCTGGGTGATAAAAGTACTACTGCTGCTTCCCTTTGTTGTTCCAATATGGATGAAACACGGCACAAGCAGCAGCAGCTACCGCAAAAATCGGAACAAACTTTTAAATATGAGCCTGTAGATCGAATATTAGTGAAGATTCAGCAGCTGGACGGGTAATCTTTTGCTTCAAAGTTGTTCAGGAACAGGTTTTGTTGGACTGCTGAGGTGAAATAAAATGACAAAGCCTAGTTAAAGACAGCTACCTACAACTCACCTGCTTTATGCTGAACCCCAGTATGTCGTTCATGTAGGTCGGCAGCAGGGTGAGGAGGGTGTAGAAGGTCCAGTTGTAGGAGAAGTGAGCCACGACGATGGCCCACAGCGGCCTCGAGGTCACGATGGATTTCCAGGGGATGTAACCGGCCGAGGAGGACAGCTGTACCAAACACAAGGTTAATTAGGAAATCCTTTATTACTTCAAAAGAGCTGCAATAAAAACGCACATCATATGTTTGTGCGCTTCAATTAGAGGCAAGAGCAGTAAAATACAGAGCTAATTAATGCTCCAACAGGCTTCACTGAAGAGGACAGCGACTCTATTTACCTACTGCCAGTCTGGCTTCCACCTTCTAGTCTGCTGCATGTGCTGGTACTCTTTCTACAGTGTTTTTCCACTTAACAAGACACTGGTTTCTTTGCAGTAGGACTTTATGAGATACTTTAGTGTTCACCAGCAGCAGATGACAGTCAATACACCCGAAGTTTGGAGAAACCGGAGCCTGCACGGAAACTACGCTGTGTGCAAAATCAAGTCATCCAATAAAATCAACATCACTTTAGGTCTGCGCTATATTTAGTACGTTTTTACTGCTTTATGTTGCTGTCAGCCCTTTAAAATATGGATCTAAACCTTTTATATCACGCTGTAATCTCGCAGGATACGGAGGTTGCTGATTTACCGCGGTGTCGTCTCGCATCATCGGACTGAGCTCCTAAATGCTGTTTCAGCGCTGGACAATGGTCTGGCTGCACCCATTACCGTTCTGCTGTAGTGGAAAGAAATGCACAATCATCTGTGCCAGCGCCAACCTGACGGTGCAGCGACAGTTTTGCTGTAAAATATACTTGGGGGGAATTGTTTTGGTGGAACTTTTGCATGCAGGGAGGCGAGCACGCTTTCTTTACTAACTAAAATACCTAAAGAACCAAGCAGGCCTCACAAAAGCTTGCCATGTTGAGCATGCAGGTTGCTGCTTGGAGGTGGCTGTTGTGTCGTGAGGTTTGAAAAAAGGAAACATGTAATGAATTCAGACAGGGAGGGTAAATGTGCATGAGGTGCACAGTGGGAATTACAGACTTACACCTCAGACTAACTGCTGTGGATCCTCACTGATGTCTTCAAAATAACACAGAACAACCAACTGATTAAAGCAGCACCAGACCAGCAACCCCTGCTTCCTGCAAGGCAAAGTGACTCTTTGTCAACAGCTCTGAAGGGAGTTATGTAACTGCATTGATTCGCCGTCAGAAAAGCTCGTCTGATGGCAAGGTAGAGCAGTGGGAATATAAATGTAGTGTGCTCTACTTTGCTTTCATGCTGGTCGTCCTGACTGCTTCTCCACACTGGGGGCGTAATCGAGTGTCGGTAATACAGCGGCTGTGGATACGTTCCTTGTACAACCCCACTTCAACGACACCAAACTGTCCCTTTAAGGTTTTGTTTTTGGTTGTTTCCCCTTTAAAACCCTCCTGATCCGTCGCCCAGAGTCGTGTTCGCATGTCTGAAGACTCTGAAGAATGTAAAACCCTTTGAGCTTTAAGGTTGCTGCAGGTTGCTCGAGTTCGACTCCCAGCAGAACCAACCGCTGCATTAGTGTGAACGTTTCCCACACTCAGGGCTGCTTTGTGGCCAAGTGTCATCATGATCTGCAGATTCATGCTGAACGTTGACGACAGATAAGAAAATAAAACGCTGCACTGAACTGAGCTGATGCAACATTTGTGTCGGTTAACTGTGCTGCACCGGAAACGCCTGCGAGCATAAAGAGCGATGCAGTGAACTCTCTAAACCAGAATTAGTTGTTTCAATGTCTTCAGGTTTCTGGTGTTACCTCATTCTTGAGTGAGTTGGTGATGTAGAGCCTCTCCCGCTCTGATATCCGCGGATGAGTGTTTGGAGTGTTAAAGACGAGAAAAGCCCAGAGGACGAACCAAACCAGACCGACGGCGCCTGGACACACAACGAAAAAAACACTCATTTTACCACAAAGCAACAAACGTATCCAGCAGACGTCACGTGACAGAGTGGACATCGTCTACCGGCGTGATGGAAGTTAAAGCAAGCAAGTAAATAAAGCGGTTCTGTCTCTGAGCACATTTTCTTCCTCAACTTGCTAAATCATCGTTTCCACAGACGAAAGAGGAACAAAGGAGCAGACGCTGAAAACATCTGAGGCAGATAAGTGTTGATGAATCACTGGAGGGGCCACTGGAGGTCAGAGCTTCTAAAGCGTCCTTGACAGAGACTGAATCAGACGTTATATCGTGTTTTATCCCCGATCAGACCACATAAAACATCATGTGTGACATAAATTTTACACGGTAGATGTTTAAGCACATCGCTTTCCTACACTTTGCTTGTAATCTTTTTATTTTATTAATGTTCTTCTAATTGCACCATGTTTAAACGTACACTCTGTAATTCCCACCAGGCCAATCCTTAGTTTAGGATCCACATATATTATACCAAAAAAATGCATTTCTTTAAAAACCCTGCACATAACACAGAGTTTACTATCTTCTGTGCTGAGTCGCTGGACTAGTTAAGCCCATCAGTTCCCTAAAAACCATCTGGGAAACTCTTAGCACAAACAGGAGAT